TCACTTGGTAGCCCAGGCTGGCCTCGAACTCACAGAGATCCACCTGCCTCTGCCTCCCAAGTGCTGGGATTAAAGGCGTGCGCCACCACCGCCCGGCTGAATTACTAAGGGCATTTTTACACACTGATTTTGTTTTTAATTTTCTAGGAGTGTGTTTTTAAAAACTAGGAACAGTACAGATATTTAATAGAATTTTTTAAATAGAATATGATTTACATAACCCTTATGTTATAACCAGGGAAGTGTAAGTACCAAGCATCATAAGATACCTCAGGATTTGATACTATTTTTTTTTTTTTGCTTCATGATTAATGCAACATGCATCATGCATTTATTGAACCAGAAATGCATATTTTTTTAAAAAATGGTTTTTTAAGACAGGGTTTCTCTGTGTAGCTTTGTGCCTGTCCTGGATCACACTCTGTAGATCAGGCTGGCCTCGAACTCACAGAGATCCACCTGGCTCTGCCTCCTGAGTGCTGGGATTAAAGGAGTGTGCCACCGCTCCTTTATGTGCCTGGCCTTTAATTTATACACAAAGTATAAGCTTTTTGTATACTTAATAGATATACACTAAAATGTGATTATTTTAATTGTTATGGAAAAGCTAAAATTTTCAGCAAATACCTTATGATTGAACATCAAGCTGCTCCCAACTTTCAAGATTCACTTCCCTGAGCCAGGGACTAGCTCGGTGACCAAGAGCTCCCCTGCATGTTCAAGCCCTAGGCTCCATGCTAAGCATGGGACTGGGGGCAGGTCGGGGGTCTCATCTCTGTCTTCATGCTAAGCTTAATTCTGAATTTGGGCAGCTGTTGAGGAATTGAAAGTCAGGTTAGACTTCAACTACTGAAGGACAGTAAGATCAGGGCTAGCATTACAAAGTGAATAAGGGTTGAGTCCTATTTATAAAATTTATAGTTAGTAAAATAAATACAATAAAGTTACATCATACTTTCTACCCAAGTAACCTATGTTACTTTCTGTAACAGTTTCTTCAAAAACACAATCTTTTCTTCCTGTCCCTTTTTTTTGGTTTTTCAAGACAGGTTTTCTCTGTGTAGCTCTAGCTGTCCTGGAACTCACTTTGCAGACCAGGCTGGCCTCAGACTCACAGAGATTCTCCTGTTTCTGCCACTGAGTGCTGGGATTAAAGGCGTGTGCCACCACACCTGCCTGAATGTCTTTGACAACACTTCATCGATCCCTGCTGAAGACTGAGCCCATGGCTTCATGCCTGCTGAGCACATGATCCAGCACAGAACTGTATCTCCAGTCACACAAAAGCTTTTCAAAAGTCTCTACTATTTTACAATTTGCTGGGAAACTTTTTTGTTAAAAGAGAGCACAATTGCAAAGAGATGAGAAAAGTTAAATGATAATTCTAAACCTACAGGTTTACCCTCTTGGAATCATGTGACTATATAAAATTTTTGAAAATCTAAAAGATATTGCCATTAAATTAGTATCACTCATTCATTAATTCATTATTTGTTAGTACACTCCTAGTGTATATAATCCTATCTATTTACAAGTGATTTTTACCATTTTTACCCCTGTGAATTGAGATCAAACCCTTATGCTAGGTAAGCACTCTTATCACCTAGCTACGTCCCCAACCCTCCTTTACTTTTCTAAAACATAAATGTCTTAAATTTTAAGTTAAAAAATTAGATTGCTCCAAGTCTTGCTGTGTTCTAAAACACTTATAATCTAAATAAAACCATGTTTATTATTGGCACATCTTACTAATACTGCAAATTGGTCTGATTTGAGAGTGGAAATTATAGCACTTTAGTGGTACCAATGTTTTATGCCTTTATTTTTTTGAAAGAGAGTCATTTAGTTCAGGGACATGGATGGGGCCTGGCTGGCTATTAAACTGTAATTGCACAAGTAACATACATTTTCTGTTATTTATTATATTGTTCCTGTTAACAGTGTCAAGCTGCGTTCTCTCCAATCAGACCCATCTTTGCTGTCTTTTGTTACAGGAGTCCAGTTACTCGCTCTTTTAGTGCCCACTTTGATCTCTTACCTGCTGGATGAAAATTCTTTTGCCTCAGCAAGTTCCGTCTCCAAAGATCTTCATGAGTTCGCACTCCAGAACTTAATGCATATCGGACCTCTGTACCCACATGCTTTCAAGACGGTAATGGGGGCCGCTCCTGAACTGAAAGTGCGCCTAGAAACTGCTGTTCGAGCCAGCCAAGCCAGCAAAGCCAAAGCGGCTGCCAGGCAGCCGGCCCCTGCCACACATTCTGCACCGACGATTAAGCTAAAAACAAGCTTTTTTTAGTGTGTTCTTCCAGTCCTTTTTTTTTGTATTTATATTTTAGGTAGTGAGTGACAACCTCTGCATCATTCCAGACTATGGATTGTTTTATTTGTGTATTGGAATTATAATGCTTTGAAGTTGATTGAGTGAAATAGTGTTCACACCTCTTACTGATTTTTAAAGATCATGTGGTAAATATATTTCCATTTTTATCCTAATGATATCTATCTTTTGTTGACTTTTTTGTTGTTACTGTTTGGGAGTTTAGGTTTTGGGTTTTGTTACTGGTGATTGGACTCAGAGCCTTGCTCATTCTAAGCATGCGCTGTGCTGTGGCATACACCCCTAGGCCCTAATTAACTTATTTTTGTAGACACCAAGCCATGGTCTTTTAAATGTAAATGCTAAAATCATAATTACATCATGTAGTTGGGCAGCCTTTGGGTATTATCAGGAAAATAAAATGACTCAGACTTTAGCATTTGTCATGAAAATTTAATTGAAAAGCAAACAGATTGCAAAATTTGACGCCACTCAAAAAACAAAAAAAAAAATCTTTTTTTTTTAAGATTTATTTATTTATTATGTATACAGAAGAGGGAGCCAGACCACATTACAAATGGTTGTGAGCCACCATGTGGGTGCTGGGAATTGAACTCAGGACCTCTGGAAGAGCAGTCGGTGCTCTTAACCTCTGAGCCATCTCTCCAGCCCCAAAATCTTTGTTTTATAGAAAAAATAGTAAGAATAAAATCACATTTTCTAACCATTTCATCAAATATCCTTATCTTTCTGATGAACCTTTAATTCTCACATTAAATGTCTAAATTATGCTTTGTGTACATACATGTTGTTAACTGAACTGAAATTCTCACCTACAGATTGACTAAAGCATTTTGAATGTGGCATGCTAAAATTTGTCCTGCTTCATACTTTGTAATTACAGAGCCTCAGCTTCTGACTGTGGTAGTTAGTTTCATTCATCAAATATTTACTGAGGCCTGCTGTGGATACGGCATCAAGCTAAGTGCCTGAGGGCACACGGAGAGAATTACAGGTTAGGTGTGCCTCTCATGCCATGGGAATTTACCATGCAAAACAGGTAACTGGGTACATGAATGTCATCACACCAGTCAGCAAATTTTAATCACCAGCTTTACCAGACATGTAGTTTAGACTTTTTTGTTTGTTTGTTTGTTTGTTTGTTTTGTTTTTTGAGACAGGGTTTCTCTGTGTAGCTTTGCGCCTTTCCTGGAACTCACTCTGTAGTCCAGGCTGGCCTCGAACTCACAGAGATCTACCTGCCTCTGCCTCCCGAGTGCTGGGATTAAAGGCGTGTGCCACGACCGCCCGGCTAGTTTAGACTCTTTATCAACAAAGGAGTGACTTTCCTAAACATTTAAAACACTAATGCTATTTGAAATATGCTGCCTGCTGCTTATTCTCTCATACCTGTACCGATTAGCCCATCTTGGTCTTCTAGACACCTCAGAAGGTATCCATCTCACTGGTTTTCTGACTGACTTTTCTTTCTACAGGGTTGATTTTAATTTCAGACTCAGGCTTCCAATGTTTATCTTCTTGCTTTTTTTGTTTTTATTTTTGGTAAAATTCTATTAAAATTATTCCTCATGTCATGTAATTTCAGTGATTGAATGTGTCTGGTTCTGGCTGGGGATGTATTCAGTGGTGGATAACTTCCTGTGTGTGTGCAAAGCCCTGGACTCAGTCCCCAGTACTGGGAAAATACAGTACAGTTTAGTGGCATTTAGTAAATTCACAGCAACCCTCAACAGTCACACAGTTTTGTTGCTCCAGAGAACCCTGCATCCTTTGAGTGATCTCATAGTCTCTTTCTTTTTTTTTCTTTTTTGGTTTTTTGAGACAGGGTTTCTCTGTGTAGCTTTGGAGCCTGTCCTAGAACTCACTCTGTAGACCAGGCTGGCCTCGAACTCACAGAGATCCACCTGGCTATGCCTCCCGAGTGCTGGGATTAAAGGCGTGTGCCACCACCACCCGGCCATAGTCTCTTTCTTTCCCCCCAGTCTTAGGCGGCCACCTCCCATCTGCTATCTGTCTACATTTCCATGTGTGGACATGTATTATATGGAGTCATGTGTTCTTTCATGACTGGTTCCTTGACTCTTAGATTTTCAAGGATCATCCATCCATCAATCCATCCATCCATCCATACTGTAACGTGAATCATCCTTCACTCTTTTTTAATGGCGGAATACTATTCTGTTGTATGTACATATTTTCTTTATCTGCTCATCACCTGAAGGACACTCAGGCTGTTTCCACCTCCTTCCTCTTCTGAATATCATGTAAGTAATAATGCTCTGAACAGTTATGTACAGAATTTTCCATGAACATATTTCTTGAGACAGGTTCTCATTCTTTACCCAAGGCTGGCCCCTAGCTCAGGATCCTTCTGCTTTATCCTTCTGGGTGCTAGGATTATAGGTATGCATCACAAACATGTATTTTAGTACCTCAACAGTTTCTAGCCAGGAGTGGAATTGCTGGCTTAAATAATAACTCTATCTTTAACTTTTTAAAGACCTGCCAGACTCTTCTAATATTATTTTTGTACACATGCATGTGTGCATGCACGTAACCCCTTCAACTCATCTATTTATGTAGATCCTTGTTTTTACCCTGGCTATTTTTGCTGTTCTTGGTACCTCCCTGACTTTTCCTGATATTTCCTCTCTTCAGAGTAGATCATGCATGCGTTCTTTCCCATTCACCCCCCCCACTCCTTTCTTTGTTAGTACATTCTTATCCTTTCCCTAACTTCTTCTAAGCCACTGCCAACTATTACTTTTCTGTCATTGTAGCTATAAAATAAAATCTCTTTAAAGAATTAGGGATGATCAAGGCCAGCCTGATCAGAGTAAGTTCCAGGACAGCCAGGGCTACACAGAGAAACCCTGTCAGGGGGTGGGGAGGGGGATTAGGGATGAGAGCCAGATGGTGGTGGCACACGCCTTTAATCCCAGCACTTGGGAGGCAGAGGCAGGTGGATCTCTGTGAATTCAAGGTCAGCCTGGTCTACAGAGAAAGTTCCAGGACAGCCAGCGCTACACACACACACACACACACACACACACACACACACACACACACACGCACACAGATGGCTCAGTCAGTAAAGATTTTGCCACACAAGTATGAGAACAAGCACAGCATAGCATGTAGTATTTAGTCTGATAATCAATTTTTACATGTAGATAACTGATAGTATACACATATTAAATCCAATGTAGCACACAAGTTTAAATGTGGCAGATCGCCACTCTCAAGAGCTGCTGGACTTTGGAGATGGCTCAGTTGGTATAAAGTGCTTATCTGCAATATTGAGGACCTGAATTCAGATCCCACTTCAGTCAGGCATGGCAATGTGCACCTGTAATCCCAGGCTGGGGGTTGAAGCAGGAGGATACACATGCATGTGCACCCATACACACACTCATGCACACACATGAACACATACATCACATGCACAATTTTTTTTTTTTTTTTTTTTTTGGTTTTTCGAGACAGGGTTTCTCTGTGTAGCTTTGCGCCTTTCCTGGAGTTCACTGGTAGCCCAGGCTGGCCTCGAACTCACAGAGATCCGCCTGGCTCTGCCTCCCGAGTGCTGGGATTAAAGGCATGCGCCACCAACGCCCGGTCACATGCACAATTTTTTTTTTTTAATTTTTTAAATTTTTTTTTAAAAGATTTATTTATTTATTATGTATACAGTGTTCTGCCTACATGCATGCCAGAAGAAGGCACCAGATTTCATTATAGGTGGTTGTGAGTCATCATGTGGTTGCTGGGAATTGAACTCATGACCTCTGGAAGAACAGACGATGCTCTTAACCTCTGAGCCATCTCTCCAGCCCCACATGCACAATTTTTAAATTTAGGAAGCTGACATTTCTGTTGTGTGATAGGCGCTGTACTAGCCTTTCTAAATCCACTCAAATAATGGCAAACGATAGGCATAATTAACCCAAATTTCAAAACATACTCAATTATAACGTTTCTATTCCTCACATTTTCTTCATTCTTAATTAGAATTTTTAGGTTAATGTCAGAAATGGTTGGAAAATAGCTATAAATAAATTTCTTGTTCAATACTTTCCACCAAATGAATTATTTTTTTTTTTTTTTTGGTTTTT